AAAATAAGTAGAATTTTTTTTGTCAATAGAAAAAAAACGAAATTAAATTACAAAAAGTCAAATAGACAAAAAAGAAAAAAAAGAAAAAAAAGAAAGAGGTAAAGCGAGGGTCAAACCTTGATTTGATCGACGATTAATCGTAGCTAGTGTTCAATAGAGTTTAACAGTTTACTGGCTGAATTTTGACTTTCATTTCTTTTGGTTGAGGTTTTATTCACAATTATACTAAAATAGGACAATTATGAAGGTTGATTGGCCTGTTATTTTTGGTTGACTCCCGCATCATAAAAACTCCTCCAACCAACACCATTCTTACAAAACTCAACATCGTCTGAAGAACCTGTTAACGAGAGTTTAACAGTTGATTACTGTTTAATATTTTATAAGACTTGACTAATATTTTATCAAAACAGAAGGTTTTGCAAATGAATTATACTTACTCAAAAAAGGAATTTTTTTTTTTTTGGAATTGGACGTGGCAGCTAATGTGGAGTGCAGTGCAGTTAACGGAACTTGCTATTCGTCGTTCTAAATATTACTAAAAAAACATCCTAAGTTTAATACATATTTACGTGGACGACGAATAGCAACGAAACCCTCCAAAGCTGGCGGAAGTTCGACTGCGCCGCTTCTTGCCGGAGAAGATGACTGGAAAAGGTAAGCTCTCGATCCATCCGTTCTTCTCATGACCTGAAAATCCCTCTGTTCAAAACCTGAAAACAGCTGATCTGTTCTCCACTGGTCGGAGGGTCGAGAGATAGAGAAGCTGTTCTTTATCCGTTGGTCGGAACGCAGCAACGTGGTTGTTCGCCCTCTGGTCATAAAGCAGCCCCGCGCGGGTTTATCCATTGGTCGAACGCAGCGAAGCTTTCGTTTACCCTATGGTCAAAAAGCTGCGGCGCGCGCTATTAACCTTGGTCAAAACTTAGAGGAGCAGGCGATTGACCGCTGGTCGAAAATGCCGACGCATACGTTTAATCACTGGGCAAAATGCAACGGAGCAAGCGATCGACCATTGGTTAGTCTTTAAATTTCATTTTGACCCTTCCTTTGATCGCGTTTTGACCCATATTTTATGAATAATTGACAATTTTTTATGAACTTAAATATTATTAAAACTATTTAGGATTTTATTTAACATTAAGCATGCTAAACTTGTAAATAATTATTTACATTTTAGAATTTTAATTAACAAGTTGACGATTGGTTGAACCGTGATTAACTGTTTATTTACAATTTTTAATGAATTTCAAATTTTGAAATTGGGTCACGTGAACATTAGACGTTGATAGTCAACATTTTTAGGTATGTATTTTATAATTTATAAAGTTAAGATAGTTATATAAAAAAAACCATTTGACATAATGTGTACTAGATTTGTAAATGATAAATATTAGGATTGTAATTGATTAATCTACAACTAATTTAATTTCAGGAACTCCGTAGACCTATTTCTACCTCTACCGTCTTATACTCGTCATGAATAGTGATAGCGACTCCGATGAGGTATTTATGTTATGAACTAACTTAGCGATAGAAGCCTATGAAGCATGTGAAATAGCCAAGGGTTTAGAGTTCTATTTAGTGAGGACGACTAACAACAAAAATAGAAACGAAAATAGTCGACGATATTATTTGAGTTGCATTCATGGTAAGAAAAGAAAGTCCAACCCTTCTAATCCAATAGTTGAAAAGCGAGAATTTACTTCTTCGAATAAGGCCGAATGCAAGTTCCAGATCAAGGTTGAGCGGCCAAAAAATGAAGTGAGTTGGCTGATTATGGGAGTGACCAATATGGACGCTCTACTTGTACCTTCTTCTGTCTCGCTCGATTCTTACGTGGATTTTTTATCTTCATCTTCTTTTCGCCCAGTTATCATAGGTCTACAAGTTCGGTCTTTCATTCAATCCTTAATGATTTCAGAATTTTCAATTCTCGACATCTTCAAAAACATACAATGATACTATTAGAAATTTAAAATATGAATTGAAGACATATTTATGAACATTTAATTAGTTCCGTATAAAGTTCAAATAATATTTTATTTCATGTTCTTTGAATTAGTAGTAATCTTAATTTCATGGAAAAAGGGATCACGTCCTTTATTTATAAAATAAAATTATATCATTACTTTACTTTAACGAAATTCAATGAAATTTTAAATATATATACAATACAACTACTCTAAATACAACAAGTAAATTTTCTTCCAATTTTTATAACGGGTGTAAGAAGTTTAATCGACAACTCAAATTCAACTAAATTTGATGAAATCCTAAAATTTAACAAGATATATTCAAACTTTTCAAAATAATTAAACTCAATTTTGACCGAATCAATTTAATTATACAAACTAAAATGCATCACAACAAATTTAATTATATAAATACAAATAATTAAAATATAAACTAAATTAATAAAAATGGAAGTTGGGCAAGAGGGTTTGACGAGGCTGCTCGTTGGTCAAAACGGATCAAAACAACCGATTGCCCATCGGCCAAGCGTTGAATAAATGGTGATTAGACGGCCGGTGAAACAAGGATAAATGGCCGGTTGGGACCGGTTGAGGAGTGACGGTCAGGGAGGAATCAGATCTATGGTGACTGGTGAGACGTGACGGCCGGCGACAGCTGGGATGAGTCAGGGGAGGATTTGGCCGACACATGGATATGGGTTGCGGAGCGGCGGGGAGATTCAGGGAGGAAATGGATCGATGGTGGAAAGGATAGTCGGCGGGCCGGGCGGCTGGGATAAACAGAAGGTTGGGTGGGGGTTAGGGAGAGAGAACGTGAAGTTCTTAGGGAGGAGAGAGGATCAGCTGTTTATTAGGGAGGAGAGAGAAGGGGATTGTTTGGTTATGCACTGGTGAGTAGGGCTGTTAATGAACCAAGCCGCTCATGAACGGCTCGGTGTGCGACTCGAGAAAAACTCGTTCGACACTCGATTCGTTTTAATCGAGCCGGCTCGCGAACAACCTCGTTAACTAAACGAGCCGAACTCGAGCCATACCATGTTCAGCTAGAAAGCTCGCGAACAAGCTCGTTTAATGATCTGACATAAAAAAATATTAGAATTCATGGATTTTATGTATTGAAATTGGGATAAATATTGTGTTTTGCTTTGCTAGACTTTGCTATAGGTTAGAATGTAATTTTGTGCGCAATTCTAGGTCAATCTTGAGCTATGATGAACATTTTATGAGCTGAACTTGAATTTGGGCTCGTTAAGCTTATTTGACGAGCCGAGCTCGAGTCGAGCTCGAGCTTTCATTTTTATAAACGAGCCGAGCTCGAGTTTGCATATTAAACCTCGTGACGAACACGAGCCGAGCTCGAGCCTGGAAATATATTAACGAGCCGAGCCCGAACTATGGCAAAGCTCGGCTCGACTCGGCTCATTAACAGCCCTACTGGTGAGCAAACCAACACTGGGGATGTGAGGATAAGAGATGTAATTGTGGTTGTGATTACGTGAGTTATTATTTTTTTAATTAAAAACAACTACAAATATAAAAATCCACCATTTGGAGATTGCAATTCTAGTATTTCAGTTTTTTGTCGAAAATTCGGAATTTCGGTTCGGTTGAAAGAACCATGGTTTCCGAAATATCCATATTTTCATTTCAAATTCCGAACTGAATAGCCTTATTTTGGTTTCGCTTCGGTTTAATTCGGTTTCAGTTCAAATTTACCGAACCGATTGCCCACCCCTACCTCCGGCCCCTGACGACACGTGAAAGTATCTATTCTAGACCCTTGTATTGTGACCAAAAGTGCTTATATTTCCCATCATTATTATCATAATGCATTGAATTATTGTTGTGATTGCTTAAAGTGCGTTATAGCAACCTTAGGATTGGTTTTATACACTTGATGCACTTTTGGGTAGCGTTCAGGGTCGAGCATTCTAGTGGGCCACTTGGAAGGCGTAGGGAACATCGAGCCCAAGTTGTTGAAGCAAAGATTCGAAGACCGGATGTCAAGGAAAAAAGGCGCCAACGACGCCGTTTTACTAAATAGAAAAGGCGGAAGTAACACCGTTTTGGAAGAGACGTCTATTTCATCAGGAAGTTGTCCAGGAATATCCTGATTCGCTGGCCACGGGTTTGGAGGATTTTTTATTGACCGAATGATGTAGTAGGGGCGATTTTTCACTTAAAAAGCCTAATAGAAGATATATAAATAGAGCTAGAGTTTGGAAGGAGGAGATAAGAGGTCAAGGAAGGGTCATTACTATACTGATTGAGTAACCCTCCTGACTTAGAGTGACACCACTTTCGAGGGAGAATCGGTGGAAAAACCGACACCAGTCGGTGTACTGGTTGTTTGGATTAGGTAATTCGATGGGGTATTTCAACTGAAATAACTCAGAAGTCAAAATAACTCGTTTGACAAAAATAAACTGGAATGTGGTATTTTGTCAATGAGGCAATTGATATAACTCCTTGTAAGTTATTTCAAATACCTACCCACCCCCTAGTTATTTCAAATAACTCATCTCTCAACCTCTTTTTTCACTCCATCCCTTCTCTAAGTGGTGAAATAACACAATATTTGAATTTTTTAGGCAAAATACATTTGTGTAGCCAAAACTTTTGCGTTTGTGCCAATAATAGCCAAATTTGGCGAAATACCAATTATAGCCAGCTTTTAGAGTTGTTGTATGACAAATATAGCCATTTCCGTTAGATACTTTAACGGTGTCATTCACACCGTCAACTTATTTGACAATTTGCTGATTAGGCGCCAACTCAACGGACACATCAGCGCTACATAAGAAAATAGTGACACGTCATATATTTCAATTATTTAATAATTACAAATCATATATTTTTTTTAAAAATTACCCTCATATTCCCCATATGCACAACCCATCTTCCCCAACTTTTCCCCAAATTCAATTTTAGGGTTCTTCCCAACTTTTTCCATTCCCCCACGAGTGAATCCTCTACTCCTTCCCCAAATTAATATCTCAAAACAGTTCCAAAACCATTAATTTTCTAATTGTTGGACTTCACGGCATCTCCTCTATACACCCTCCAAGGACCAGGTAGAACTTCGGAGTCATCAGAGGCACAACTTACCCCAAGTGTTCTTCCCAATACTTCTCCTGCTCAAATTCCACCAAAAAATTAACCGCCCACAAATCAGAAATCGTTATGTATGAAAAACCCAGGAAGCGAATTGAAGTGGGCGACCCATATAAAACAGATTCAATATTTTGTAACGCTGCTCGGTAATGGCGGCGCCGACAACCCTTGTGTAGAAGGCGGCGACGTAGATGGTGACGAGAGGGGTGAACCCGGCGAAGTAGAGAATCCATTTTGCCCTGCGGAAATTGTCCTGTCCAGCAAGCTCTCGAGCGGGGCGCCGAGTGGGAACCCGGCGAAGTAGAGAATCGATTTCGCCCAACTCATCTCCACGCAGTTCTCCCTTTTCAAACCCAGATCTGCGTTGTTGAATCAAGAAAGCATCGAAGAAAATATCATGGGAGGATCTGCAACGGTCGCTTATAACTCGCTCGCCACCGCCAGCGCTAAGTCCGAGGGGGTTTATTGTGGCCATCGGTGGGGATACGTTTGTGGTGGTCTAAAGACATCGGTTTGGCTAGGGTTCTTTAGGCTTGAAGCTCGAAGTGATGAGTGGTGGGTTGGCGGTGGTCGACGAGAAGACAAAGTGGCACGATGGCGTCGCTACAGTGTAAAGGATGCTGCGTTGGATTGACAGTGCGGTGGCGTCGGAGCGGTGGATTGTTGGCTAAGAGGATGATGCGGCAGGGGAGATTTGCGACGATGGAGGAGGATAGCAGAGGGATTTGGGATTTTTTTTTTGTTTTCCACAGTGTTTGAACTTTGGATTTCAGAGAGAAATAAATGATATTTCCTTCTTTTTTCATTAATTTAATAATAATAAGAAAATCCAATTTCCACCTGGTATGATTTTGGACAAAAAATGCCCATGTGGCTTGCCACGTAAGCTGTGTCGTTTGCTCAGTCACACTTAACGTTAACAGCGTTAAAGAATTGGACGGAAGTGGCTATAAGTGGTATTTCGGCGAATTTGGCTATTATTGACACAAACGTAAAATTTTTGGCTATACAAGCGTATTTTGCCAATTTTTTATCCAAGCAAGACAATTGACCAAATTACTCCATCCCTTCTCACATAGCAAAAGAATGCATCATTTTGATTCGGAATACCACAAAACCAAAATGATACATCCAAATGACCCGTAATTTCCATGTCTTGGCCGCCAATTTTTGTGGTCTCCTAGAGTAATCATTTCCAATGATGAACACCCAGGACACCCTCCCCATGATAGGCTAAGTTCCTTAGTTGCGTAGGTATGTGAACCCTAGGAGTTCTAGCCATGTAAACTCGATGATTTGATTAATACAATTGTTTGATTTTTATATGTGTGATGCTTGATTTCCACTATTTTGTTATTTGTTGATTCAAATGATTGCTTAGTCGATTTTGCACTACTTCGAAGTACAAGACTCAAAATCCTAGTCATTTAGAATGAGACTAGAAATAGCAGTCTTACTTTATCGAACCTCATTCGATCAATGAAGAAATTCGAAGGGACCCTATCGCTCATTAGTTCGGATAAATGATTCGACGCAAGGTGAGATATAATGAAATAAAAGTTCGACAACTCGTATGCTCCAATCATCGAGGACGAGTGGTTAGAAAACCTAGGGGAAATGATGCATATGCAACGCCTGCCTCTCTGCTCTCTCTCTCATCTCCAGTAGTTAGATTTACTTTTCTGCACTCTTTACGTTTTGAACGCTTAAGTTCTACAAACCAAAGATATCTCAACCTCCAAAATCGACATCTTCTTCAATAGAACCGTACCTCGCTGGATAGGTGCACTTACATTGGGCTCTTATTTGTTCATTCTTCTCCTTATTATGTTCGGTTGAGATTAAATAATTATGTAATATGTAACATTTGATTTTGTTGCAATCCAAGAATACAGAGTCCCTGCCATCTTAAAACTCTCAACCCAATTTTCTATTATTTGCTGATATGTCATGAAAATTTACTATTTCATACCCTTGACACGAATGACGAAACTAAATCAAAATATTAGGAATTGGAGACAAAAATCTTCGAAGGAAGAAAAAAACTTCAACAACAGATGAAAGGTGTCTTTCTCTTGCGTAATTTAAAAAGTTAGGCAACGAAGTGTGTGCGATTAGAAATTTAATAATATTCCATCGGTAAGATTTTCAGGCCTATCTAAAACAGGAGCAGAAGAGAATGCACATAACACGACGGTTCCACAAGGCGCCATCGTGACTAGCAGCGCTGAAATGCGAAATCCCAATCCACTGTCAGGTCGAGATGATGATGATGATACCCCGTGAAGGAGCATTACCACATTGCAGTAAGCAAAAACTTGCATCGCTAATGCCACCATCATATCTCGTGCACCATAATCCAAAACCCTCCATCGAATTTTAACAAACATGTGGATTTTGATATTTAAGAATGTAAGTCCAATCATAATCCACAGATCGAAAATGCGATCATTGTCGGACCTACAGTATCCGACGACGACCGAGATGAGGATGACGAGGATCAGGTCGGCCGACTTAGCGCAGCGCCCCCACGAAGAGTCTGGAGCCTTTGCACCCCAGTGAATGGCAAGTTTAATTGGGAGTAAATGAAGCAACATGAAGTAGATTGCGGAAACGAAGATGAAGATCGTATGACGCTGACCGAGTTTTGCCAAGTTCGGGCATGTGAAACCTGATAGAAGAACTAAACCCGGCAATTCGAGAAAGCAAATGAATGAAGGAACAATCCATAACGTGAATACTGGTGCCTTGGAACCACTTGTATTATTTTGGAGTTCTTCTTTCTCTTCTTCCCCTACCAATAATGTTATGGCTTCTTTTTCGTTTCCCGCTTCCATATTCATCTCACTCACACCATACAAATTAGAGATGATGAGTATACAAGGAGAGGAAAAAAGGACTACTGACAATCACTCATGCCTGAAATCCTTTCCCTTTGCGGTTCTTTTTTTTTATATTAGTTAATAATAGTTAGTGATCGTAAACCAAGTCCGAGAAAAGCTAACACAATGATTTCGCACTTTAGTGGAAGACCTGAATCACAGACTTCATTATTTATTACGTACGTTCTAACCGCACAAACAAAACAAGGCTTTCCTAAAATATCGCATTGTTGTGTAAGACTCCGATTTCTCGAACCGATAAAGCAAAAATCTTAAAAATAGGGTTCAAATTTTGTTGGGCATAAAACAAAAGCATTAATGAGGACCAAAGAATGCCCAAGCATGTTTATTGAACTATACTGATCGAGAGACTGTCCGTTGCCCAAGTTCAACATGAGCGAGGAAATTACCTACCGAAGATTGTTTGGCGACCTGGAGAGACTCGGTGTTTTCCGGCGAGGAAAATCTTGTGTTTGAACTCCATCAATGCACCTTTGACTTCTTGAACAACGATTCTAAACCGGTTCACACCTCTCCAAACAATGTTCGAACGAGGGTGTTTGATGTTTTTGATGGTTTTTTGGGAACAAGCTACGTTACATTACTCCTACTCCTATGGAGGTTCACTGAGAGCTCCGAAAACTAAGGCTATGGCTAATTTGCAGAGAAAGGATAAAATTTTGACATTGTGTGTCAAATGGTTGGTTGTCGAACCCTTGCTTCATTTTCGCTTCTCCTATTTATAGCCATATCTTGTAACCGCCGTGTGACCGTCTCTTCTTAACCGCTTCTCCTCTGCTTGGTGCTTGATGTAGCTTGCTTGACGCCTTGACTGTCTTACGTGCTTGCCACTTGATACTTTGCACCTTGATGACTTCACTTGATAGCTAGCCCTTTGTGCCATGGAGGTGTCTTGCTTGGTGAGTGAGGGCTTCACGCTTGGGTGGTGCTCGTGCTAACCACCGTGAAATGACGTCATGCTCAACACTAGGGTGCTTGGGGATGTGATGGATGCACACTGACCCCCTTGGGATGGCATCATGCTTGCACGGTCTTGACAAGGTGGTCTACCATGTGATGATATACATGGCTGACATAACATGCATGCTACTTGTGATGATGTCCTTGCACCGCACCATGCTTGACACCCTATCACACGGTAGATAGTAGCCATGGTGTTTGGTGCTTGAACCCCCTTGCGGTTGAGTCTCAACACTAAGCCAATTTTCACCTTCGTTTGCCGCCACATGTTTGATACCCCGAGTGCAAGGTAGGTAGGCAGCCATGGTACTTGGTGTTTGACCCCTCTTGCATGACATCATGCTTGAATCCCTCCCCTCCCCCCCCCCCCCCCCCGGGGATGATTGCATGCTTGGCCTCCCTTGTGGTTGGTGTCATGCTTGACCCCCCTTGTGGTTGGGTCTCAACACTTAGCTAATTTTTGCCTTCTTTCCCCATCACGTCTAGAGGTAGTTGATATCACCCTCCTTGCACGACATCATGCTTATACCCGATTGCAAGGTAGGTAGGCGGCCACGGTACAAGTCTTCCTTGTCGGCTTGACACCCCTTTGGCTTGGTACTCTTCTTCGTGTCTTGGTACCAGGCCATCCTGCCTTGCCGGCTTGGTACCCTCTTGGTGATTTGGGCTTGGTACTTAGCCAATTTTGCTCTACTTGGTATCCTGTCGTAACTCGTATGACCCCTGTTGCCATGGGATTCCATACTTAGCCAAATTTCATGCTTGGGTACCTGGCCTATCACTCTCTTGACTCAAGACTTGGTCAAATTTCATGTATGGGTACCAGGGAAAATTTCATACAACGGGGGTGGAGACATTGTCCTGCTATGGCGACGGGAAACCGCTAGGCCAGGGATAGGGGGCTTGGCCACTTAGACCCAAAAACCTAATAAGGCCCAACTAGCTCATTTAATGATTAATGTTGAGCTGGCTTTATAAATCCATGAAATTCCTTATAATTAATCGTTGTGGTATGAGATTAATTTTTAGGTGTAAACAAATGCCCCCCACAACTTAGTGTATAAGTATTATGCACTAAGTTGTTGAACTCAATTTGGCCACCTAAAAATAACACTTATCTAAGTTGTAAACATACACCTGTAGCCTTCTAGAGAATGCTAGGCCCCAATAAAGGAAATAAAGCTTAACTAGCTCAATTTCCATTCCATGTCATGGCTAGCTACTCAAGCCATGTTTTATCAAAAGAGCATCATGTCATGCCTTAAGGTGTAGGAGGCTTGGCATGTCGGCCATCATGGTGGCTGGTTAACTTTGAACTCGTTGACATCTCAAGTCCAAAAAGGAAAGAGACATATGGGTTAAAATACTAGCCATTGATCAATCGATCATGCAACACTCCATCTTCTTTCAACAAGTAGGGCACCTTAGACGGGTGCTAGATGATAATGGGTCCAGGCCAAACACTCAATCAACTACTCATGCCATGTAAGTAGCATGGTGTACCCACCGATCAAACGAGCGTAGGGTCTCCATAAACCACCCACATGATTTGTTGCTTAACATTCATGTCAAGGTCCTCACATCGCAAGTGTTACAACTCTAACTCAACTTGCCACTTCGACATCTTTTTTTAGCCATGGTTGGCTTGAGATTTTATTTTGTTTCCTCTCTTTTCGTTTTCATAATATTATTTATTTATTTATTTATTTATTTATTTATTTATTTATTTATTATAGTAAGGAGTAACAGACGTCACTGACTTCCACACCCTTTGACAACCACTAATGTGCCAAAGGTATACACCCACTGTCAAATCCATGAATCAAATCAGACCAACCATCCATACACTATATGTATTCCCTCCTTAAAGACGTACCACTCCTTTGGTGTTGGTTTCGAATTTTCCAACTTAAAATGGATGATACCTGATCAACTTATCTTGCCTTGGCAGGCTTGCAAAGGGTCTCATGCTCCTTTGCTTGAGTCATCTTATTAGCACGTTGTTCTTATGTTGAGCCTGATGTGCTTGCCTCATCCTCGGTAGAGCACTAAACATCTTCAACTCCTTGATTCATATACAAGACCATGAGTTGTCATTTGTCTTAGTTCCCCCTGACAAGACGCATGCTTAATCTTGCCACATGGTCGAGAAAACTGGTGTTTGGGATTAACGAGTTGATGAACACTCTTGTGACCAACTTGACTCTGTTCAACCCCTATGGCTCGTTGATATTTACACTTAACATAGAACCACCCCTGGTATTTTGTAACACCATGCTTGGTTGGTGTATGCCAAGCTGTCTTATGCATGCCTCCATATCCACCATTCATGGTTGGCATGTCATGGGGGTTCTTAGATATGGACTTGTCCCCTTGGTCACCATTCATATTTGGGATGCCATGAGGGTTGTTAGGCATAGACTGGCCCCTTTGTCTATTCCTCAATGCACTCTCACGATGGTGAAAATCGTAGAGAGTTTGGATCTGATGAACACTCCTAGACTTGCTCTTCACTCGTTTCTTCACTGTCAGTGACATGCCCCCCTGCACATTAGTTGAAGACATGCCCCCGATACCCTTGTTCATGTTTGTTAACGTGCCTTCCTTGTCACACTTAGCCATATTGGTATGCTTACTAAAAACATGTGTGGTTTCATGTTGTGGCTTATTGGGCACACCTATCAGTCCACTAGTTGTGGTTGTTGACGTGCCCCCTTTGCCACAAATGGTCATACCATCCAACTTATTACCAGCATCTATGGCTTGAGCCTTTTGGACTTTGTTGGGTACGTCTATCTATCCACTGCTAGTGGTTGATGACATGTCTCCCACTCGTTTCTTTATGGTCGATGATATCCCCCCTACTATACTGCATGGGGCTAGAGACATACCCCCCTTGCCACAAATAGCCACATCATTATGTTCACTACAAACATGTGTGGGTTTGGCTTGTTGGGCCTTCTTAGGTACGTTTATCTTCCCACTGCTTGTGGTTGATGTGCCCTCCTTTCCATACTTAGATCCACCATCATGCTTACTACAAGCATGTGTGGCTTCCCAGGCAAAATTGTCAACTCAGTGCTTGTTGCAGTTGCTGACATGCTCCCTTTGCCACACTTAGATGAAACACATGGTGTGATTTTAGACAAAACCCTTTGTCCAGCTTTTCCAACATCATCTTGCCCCCCAGCCTGACATTTCACCTTGTCAGTTGGTAGACTTTCATGGCCCTTTGCCTGCCCCTCTGGCGATTTGCATCCACCAGACCGCTTGAGCATAGATGGCATCGAGGTTTGGAAAGCTTTTGGTACCACATCCATAGCTATTAACCCTCCATCAACTCTCATGTTCAAACATGGTCTAGCCTCTGAGACGATTTTTAGAGTAATTGTCTGCACAGGCGGTTGCTTTACATGGGTGGTGAATGTGTTAGCAAGATTCTCGTCATAACCACCTTGTTGAAGAGGTGGTTGACTCTGTTGTGGAAATTGTTCACGTATACTAAATCTTGCAGAACAAGCAACATGTAAGATCACGAAAAATCATGCAAAGACACATATGTCCGTCCTAGCCGACAGAATTCACTGTCTCTCCTTAAGAAATCTTATTCCCCTCTAGTACCCAAGGTTATGGAATGATTCCTCCCAGGATAGAAAGGACGTAACTTTTTCGGCGTAGCAGTACCTCAAACCCCGGAACTCATCGAATGAAGCGAACCGGCGAGAACCACACTTGACTCTATTTTCTCTTTGAAAAGAATGCAGAAAACTAGTTTTGGATTTTGGAAGAATTTTGGTACCGCAAAAATCCATGTAGAAACCAAAGGGGGTTAGGTGCTATTTATAGAAAATGAAGGGGTGCTTACGAAGGGAGGCAACTCTTCGTATGGGTGGTTACACCCCAACCAACACATTGGTTCGTTTTAAAATAATGAACCATTGCATCGGTTCGGCCCATGGTAGTTGGACCGGTTTGGTTATTCCAACCGCCACATCGATTCGGTTCAATTTGGTCCGGTTGGTTACACAAACCAATATTACCGATTACCAACATATTACATCAAATCGACCGAATTCGCGGGTACCTTCCCACATCTTACCAACATGGTACTTCAAGAGACTCTCTTCGAACTTTTTCCTTTCATTCCCATCACACCACTAAAAAACCCAACAGACTCATTGTCCCCGGAGGTGATGAGTTCTCTGATGGTGGCTGGGTAGTCCGGCCACCGGAGGGAGAACTATTTTTTCACACACTAGTATTATTTGGTGCTGGATCTAACCAATTTGCGGCAAAACCTTTGATTGCAACACTGGCTCTATAAAATCATTTTTAAACTTATCCAAACCATTTTTATTTTTTATAACTGCTTCAAATAATTGATCCAACCGTCTATCTAAGGTAGAACTAAGAGAAGCAAGATTGAGACTTGTCTCCTGTGAACTTCTAACAAGTCCATACAAACTCTCCTCCATCAATTGACGGTTCTCCACCATCACTTGACAGTTCTCCATCACCATCTTGCGATTCTCTTACACTATTAAGCGGAGTGACATGAAAGTGGTGGTTACATCGGCATAAGGTGCCACCGGTGGCAAGATCTCAATCCTACCATTGTTTCCGACAACACTTTCTGTTGCTTGGTCAAATTTGAACTTGGCCACAAAATCCTTCACAACTCCAAGTGAAATATCACCTTCTTGTTTCCTCTGTCTCGGAGCCATCAAATCAAACACAAGAGTCCCACCAGGTGTGCCAATATGTTTTTCGGCGAGGAAAATCTTGTGTTTGAACTCAATCAATGCACCTTTGACTTCTTGAACAACGATTCTAAACACGGTTCACACCTCTCCGAACAATGTTCGAACGAGGGTGTTTTGATGTTTTTGATGGTTTTTTGGGAACAAGCTACATTAAATTTCTCCTACTCCTATGGAGGTTCACTGAGAGCTCTGAAAACTAAGGCTACGGCTAATTTGCAGAGAAATGATAAAATTTTGACATTGTGTGTCAAATGGTTGGTTGTCGAACCCTTGCTTCGTTTTTGCTTCTCCTATTTATAGCCATCTCTTGTAACCGCCGTGTAACCGTCTCTTCTTAACCGCTTCTCCTCTGCTTGGTGCTTGATGTAGCTTGCTTGACGCCTTGACTGTCTTACGTGCTTGCCACTTGATACTTTGCACCTTGATGACTTCACTTGATAGCTAGTCCTTTGTGTCATGGAGGTGTCTTTCTTGGTGAGTGAGGGCTTCACGCTTGGTGGTACTCGTGCTAACCACCGTGACATGACGTCATGCTCGACACTAGGGTGCTTGGGGATCTGATGGATGCACACTGACCCCCCTGGGGTGGCATCATGCTTGCAGGGTCTTGACAAGGTGGTCTACCATGTGATGATATACATGGCTGACATAACATGCATGCTACTTGTTATGATGTCCTTGCACCGCACCATACTTGACACCCTATCACACGGTAGATAGCCATGGTGTTTGGTGCTTGACCCCCCTTGCATGACATCATGCTTGACCCCCCTTGCGGTTGAGTCTCAACACTAAGCCAATTTTCACCTTCTTTTACCGCCACATGCTTGATACCCCGAGTGCAAGTTAGGTAGGCAGCCATTGTACTATGTGCTTGACCCCTCTTGCATGAAATCATGTTTGATGATGCGGAATTGAAACGAACACAGAACACAAGGAATTTTACGTGGTATCCACGACCACAGAACACAAGGAATTTTACGTGGTATCCTCGATCGATTGATTGATCGAGACTAATCCACGGTGAGCTTGGAACGAGCTCACGACTGATGTTTTATTATACGACTACATCTTGACGGCTTGCTTACGACAATCTCGTAGCTAAGCTTATATAGAGATAGACGTAGGGTTAAAACCCTAATGACAACCAAGTTTCCTTCTTTTACTTGAACAAGGAAACAAGGGACTTGTATGACAAGGAATTAATTACTTTTGACTAAGTAATTAATATCCTCAACAGACCCCCCTGGGATGATGTCATGTTGGCCTCCTTGTGGTTGGTTTCATGCTTGAAACACTTAGCTAATTTTTGCCTTCTTTTCCCATCACGTCTAGAGGTAGTTGATATCACCCTCCTTGCACGACATCATGCTTGATACCCGAGTGCAAGGTAGGTAGGCGCCATGGTACAAGTCTTCCTTGTTGGCTTGACACCCCCCTTGGCTTGGTACCCTTCTTCGTGTCTTGGTACCAGGCCAAATATTCCAACTATTCTAGCAGAACAGACTAATCTGGTTGGGGTTTATCAGGACAGCTTGAGGGACCCAGAAAAATACACAATAATTATTAAAAATACACGACACGAATGACGAAACTAAATCAAAATATTAGGAATTGGACAAAATTATCTTTGAAGGAAAAAAAACCCAACAACAGATGAAAATGTGTCTTTCTCTTGCATAACTTAAAAAGTTAGGCAAAGAAGTGTGCGCGATTAGAAATTTACTGCTATTGCATTGGAAAGATTTTCAACCCTATCTAAAACCGGAGCAGAAGAGAATGCACAGAAAACGACGATCCCACAAGGTGCCATCGTGACTAGCAACGCTGCCGTGCGAAATCCCAATCCACTGTCACGTCGAGATGATGATGTCCCGTGAAGGAGCATTACCACATTGCAGTAAGCAAAAACTTGCATCGCTAATGCCACCATCATATCTCGCGCACCATAATCCAAAACCCTCCATCGAATTTTAACAAACGTGTGGATTTTGATATTTAAGAACGTAAGCCCAACCATAATCCACAGATCGACGACAATGCGACGATCATCGTCGTCGGATCTACAGTATCCGACCACGATCGAGACGAGGATGACGAGGATCAGGTCGGCGGACTTGGCGCAGCGGCCCCACGTAGAGTCCGGAGCCTTTGCACCCCAGTGAATGGCAAGTTTATTTGGGAGGAAATGAAGCAACACGAAGTAGATTGCGGCAACGAAGATGAAGATTGTATGATTACCGAGTTTTGCCAAGTCCGGGAATATTAGAATTGATAGTACATATAAACCCGGTACTTGGAAAAAGCAAATTAATGACGGAACATCCCATAACGTGAATATTGGTGTCTTATAACCACTTGTGTTTTGGGGTTCTTTCTCTTCTTCCCCTACCAATAATGTTATGGCTTCTTTCTCGTTTCCCACTTCCATATTCACCTCACTCACACCATAGAAATTAGAGATGATGAGTGCAAGGAGAGGAAAAAATGGTTACTGACAATCACTCATGCCCTGAAATCCTTTCTCTTTGCGGTTCTATGTTTTTTTTATTAGTTAATAATAGTTAGTGATCGTAAATCAAGTCCGAGAAAAGCTTACACAATGATTTCGCACTTTAGTGGAAGACCTGAATCACAGACTTCATTATTTACGTAAGTTCTAACCGCACAAAAAAAAATAAGGCTTTTCCTAAAATATCGCATTGTTGTGTAAGACTTCGATTTCTCGAACCGATAAAGCAAAAATCTTAAAAATAGGGTTCAAATTTTGTTGGGTATAAAACAAAAGCATTAATAGCAGTCGAGTAGGAGGTCATGGAGCGGGACCAGTTCCCTGAGTTGAGGCTGCAGTGTGGCGAATAGGTCGATTTTTGATTGGTGAGTCATCGGTTCGAATCTCATTTGGATCAGCTTCTTTTCGAACTCCAAAACTAATTTTTTTTATCTTGTTATCCGTCCGTCTCGATAGATGACTTGTTATTAACTGATCAAAAAAAGTTTCCATCTCTCATCAAGGATCTGTGACAGGCTGTCAATCTAACAGAAAAAAAAAAGACAAGGAAATTACAGGATCGGTTAGCTTACCAAATACCAACCCCTCTAAGGGGTTGGAAAAATTATACCCCTATTAATTATAGTTATTTTTTGTATTAAATTCGTGTTGCATTTAATAATTTTTGAAAATTAAAAACTCATATTAATTACTTAGGCCTCTAACTAATTAATTCCTTGTCCTTCAAGTCCCTTGTTTCCTTGTCCATGTAAAAGAAGGAACTTGGTTGTCATTAGGGTTTTAACCATAAGTCTTCTCTATACAAGCTTAACTATCAACTTGTGTGATAGCAAGCCGTCACGATGTAGTCCTCAAATAATAAAACGTCAGTCGTGAGCTCTTTCGGTCTCACCATGGATTAGTCTCGTTCAATCATAAACGAGTATACCACGTAAAATCTCTTGTCTTGTATTTTTTTTCAATCTTCTGCATTATGAAATTCTACTCTCCTTGTATATTCGTTTAGGAAGAAAATTAAACATCAAAATAAATTGAAGCCAAGAGAAAACGTGTAAGAAGTAAAAATATTTCTCAATAATTTGTTGATTTAATTTACAATCTGAATGGGGATACCGCTATATCCTAGTCTTTATCTTATTGCTCCGGCTCTTGAATCACTTGAAATTGTTGTCAAAATGTCTTGAATTAACAAGAAATTTAAGGTTTAGTTGTTAACCAGTATGGACTTTTTAAAAATCAACACTAATAAGATGTAATATAGTTTATTAAAATCTTTAATTTCATATAAGTGACTTGAGTTCAAGTCTCACTAAAGACTTTATGCTATTTTTTTCCTATTGGAAAACGCATAAATTAAAACAAAATAGGTAGTGGTTTGAGCGATTAATTAACCATCTAAACCGGTCATGAACGTGGTGGGCGTAAATTGATCCAGTTTGAGGCTGCACCAACCGAAATTATACATGAATCCAATTATCCCAGCAGAATAGATTAATCTGGTCAATCGGGGTTTATCAACACAGCTTGACACGAATGACGACGAAACTAAATCAAAATATTAGAAACTATGGAGACAATAATCTTCGAAGGAAAAAAAAAACCCAACAACAGATGAAAGGTGTCTTTCTCTTGCATAATTTAAAAAAGCTAGACAACAAATTGTGCGCGATTAGAAATTTAATATTACTCCATCGGTAAGATTTTCACGCCTATCTAAAACCGGAGCAGAAGAGAACGCACAGAAAACGACGATCCCACAAGGCGCCATCGTGACCAGCAGCGCTGCCGTGCGAAATCCCAATCCACTGTCACGTCGAGATGATGACAATGATGATGAAGTCTCGTGAAGGAGCATTACCACATTGCAGTAAGCAAAAACTTGCATCGCTAATGCCACCATCATATCTCGCGCACCATAATCCAAAACCCTCCATCGAATTTTAACAAACATGTGGATTTTGATATTTAAGAACGTAAGCCCAACCATATTCCACAGATCATGGAAAATGCGACGATCATCGTCGTAGGATCTACAGTATCCGACGACGATCGAGACGAGGATGACGAGGATCAGGTCGGCGGACTTGGCGCAGCGCCCCCACGTAGAGTCCGTTGCATTTGCACCCCAGTGAATGGCAAGTTTATTCGGGAGCAAATGAAGCAACATAAAGTAGATTGCGGAAACGAAGATGAAGATCGTGTGACGCTGACCGAGTTTTGTCAAGTCCGGGCATGTGAAAACTGATAGTAGAACTAAACCCGGCAATTCGAGAAAGCAAATGAATGACGGAACAATCCATAACGGGAATACTGGTGCCTTAGAACCACTTGTATTATTTTGGAGTTCTTCTTTCTCTTCTTCCTCTACCAATAATGTTATGGCTTCTTTCTCGTTTCCCACTTCCATATTCATCTCACTCATCACACCATACAGATTAGAGATGATAGTACGAGGAGAGGAAAAAAGGGTTACTGACAATACTTTCCCTTTGCGGTTCTCTGTTTTTTTTTTTGTTTTGTTTAGTTAATAATAGTTAGTGATTGTAAACCAAGTCCGAGAAAAAACCCGTACGCTAATTTCGCACTTTAGTGGAAGACCTGAATCATCGATTACATGATTTACGTTCTAACCGTACGTACAGACAAAATAAGGCTTTCCTAAAATGTGGCATGGTAAGATTTCGATTTGTCAAACTATTTGCAATACCTCATAGTCCAAGTACGAGAGACACTCAATTCTCTCGAGAATTTCCAAGGTGTGAAGATATATATACTTGGAGCTGGGTGACTTCTGGGGAAGAGGAAGCTCGATGATTTTTTTCCCTCGCAGAAGTTAACTAGCGGCTATGAAAACTCCTTTAAAACGATGGTAGAGAGCTACTTCTCATGCATCAATTAATGGTTCTCAATCAACACTCAAAATTATCCCTAAGAATCAACAATATGGAAAACGAGGGTGCATAGGTGAAAGTAGGGATAGCTATTTGGTCCGATCTTTTTTGGTTTTACCCGAAACCGGATCCGTATAAATCGGATCGGAACAGGATAGCAAACAATCCAATCTAATCTTTGGGTTTCTTCTCATGCATTAATGATATGATAAATAAAGTAAAATACGAATAAATGTGTAAACAACAGTATTTTAATAAGAGAAAATGTGTATACAATAATAGTGTATTAAGTTCAATCTACATATATTTTGTGTACCGTATTATACACTCCCTAAATACACACATTCTCACCCGTATACTTATATTCACAACGAAAAGTATTAGAAAAAAAAAGAGGAAAATATTTAACAGCGGTTACAACTTACAAGCAAGGTAGCTAGCTATCAGTATAACTAATCATACCCTAAACTCCCCTTGTGAAAATTAAAAAGAAGATTAATTACCATTAATTAGCATAAAATTACAAAATAACGATCACAAGGAAATCTCGCTGAGAATAGGTTCATCAAGGAAAAGCTCGGTCCAATTGTAGGAAGTCACCCCGCCGGCGTAGCTAGAGCTGCTGCTGCTAGTACCCTCCCCGCCGCCGGCCGTCGGGTTGCTTATTGAGGTCTGAGGGAGGGAAGACGGCGGCGGCGACGGCAGAACCTCCACCGGCCACGAGTTCATCATCTCGTTATTATTATTATGATTAGTATTATTATTATTAATATCGTTATTATTATTACAGTCATTACCATTGGTCGCTGTAGTGGTTGTGGTAGTTGTTTGTGTAAGGAAAGGGACTTGTTCTTCTTCCTCTTGTGGGTCACACAAAGGAGGGAGTAGAATATGGTTATGGTGGTGGAGTGGTTGAGTGGCCGCCATGGAAGTAGAAGAAGTGATCATATTACTAAACTCGGAATTATTGAACTGATGATGATGATGAAGAAGTTGTTGGTTAGGGAGAGAATTGAGGAGGTTGATGAGTTCTATGTCGGCGGAGGCGGTGGAAGATACGACGCCGTTTTGGTGGTTTGATGATGATGATGACGTGGAGGAGGAGGATTGGAGGAGGTACTGGACGTACTGGAGCTTGGCGAGCTGGAGAGCCTCGGCCTGTAGTCTCGTTGTTTGGTGGTCCAGTGGGTGGTCGATTAGGAGGAGGTCCTTGAGCTGGACCAGGGCCATGAGTTGAGGCAGCGTGGCGAACAGGTCGGTTCGCGGCTGGTGGGTCATCGGGTCGAATCCCATCTGGATAAGTTTCTTCTTGAGATGGGTGTTCCAGAAGTTTTTTATCTCGTTGTCTGTACGCCCTGGCAGATGGCTTGCTATTGCTGACCATCTGCATACGAAAAATTAGATATCATTAGCAAGTAAGAAAAGAAAGAAAATATATAAGAAACTACAAATTTTTTTTATGTGAAACATTTTTCATGACTTGAATTGTATATAGAAGTCTCCTAATTAGTGATCTATGATTATATTGGACATAAATATATAGTAGATTCACGACTTGAATTTATCAAAGTCTTCTAGTGATCAATGATTGTTAACCTCAATAATTGATTACAATATAAGATATGGTAGCTTCGATCATCTTAAGTCGATAGTCGATATTGTAAAGTCATATTTCGAAGGATATATCATTGATTAACCGAAAAATCGAGGTATGATAAAGTTAAAATCTAATAAACTCTCGATCGTTATAATATCGTGATAAAATCATATCGAGCGCAGGTTATTGAATGGGTGATCACTACTCACTTGTTGCCGAGAAAGGAATGGAGATTGAGAATGGTCTGTTCTTCATCCGGAGAGAATTTCCCCCTCTTGATATCAGGTTTCAGGTAGTTCGTCCACCTCAGCCGGCAGCTCTTGCCGCACCTATTCAACCCTGCACGAAAAACAATGATCATCGGCCGGTCGAGGAACGGCATGCAGAAGGGAAGAAGAAAAAAGTAGCAGTTCACTTACCGGCGAGCTTGGGGAGAGCTCTCCAGCTTCCATGGCCGTGTGCCTGAATAAAATCCACCAGCTTCTTGTCCTCTTCGGTTGTCCATGGACCTTTCTTCAGCCCATTCTCGTCGCAGCAAGGAGACCTTCCCATCGTTAATTTTCTGGAGGAGTAGCTTGTGGAATTGGGTTATGCTTCCTTTGCTCCAACCAAAAACCTGATGCCAGTATATTTATACACATACGCAAGTAACATAGAATAATATTATATTACCTCCCCATTTGCTAGCTCTTATTGGCTTTATTTGGTTATTGAAAATGTGCTTTGTACATGTATGGTACATACTAATATAGATTTATAATATGTAGGTAATGATCGACTGGCGTACTCATGAAGTATAAATATCGTACTCTAAGTGAGATGGTCGTTAGATCTGCTTGTTGTACTTCGACGAATCAACACGATAATTTTTTTTTTATTAAAACGAATTTTTGGGTTTTGGTTTAAGAGAACTGGGTGTTGGAGTTTATCAAATCAGATGTTAGGGTACGGTATCATACACCAAACACAGTTTGGTTCATGGTCTAGATAGTTAGATATAGCATACTAGAAGCACCAAAAGTATAGCATACTCCATTAGCATAATAGTGTGACCCAATGTAATGTGTAAGAGGAAGGGGTGTTAATTAAGAACAAGTTTGTCCCAATAACTTGAACTGTTGGAAGATGGTCAATAATGTATCTTATACCGCATTCAAACGCACCTCCTCAAACTCAAACCACACAAATGGACTTGAAGTTTGCACAGTTTAGAAACGGGGTCATCAACAACCGTTTGATCCAATAACTCGCTATCTCTTATAATAGATACGATAATGAATTTCATACTACATGATATGATCATGGGGGTTGGTTGACTGCGATGGAGACACTTCCCTCCATCTGCTAACTGCTAAATTATAGGCCAGATATGCAATAATCTTTGAATTGACAGTTGATGTCCCCCAATACGCCTCCCTTCACTCTCGTTGAAATTTGCTCATCGTCACCACCACCATTCGTGTTTGGAGACGAAACACGGCCAACAAAAAACAAAGAAAAGGGAAAGGAAATGCTTCTGCAGCAAACAACAAAGACCATTATTTCCTGGAATTTCAAACCCTAAGGAGAGGAAACTGTCGGTCAAATCTAAAAGAAAAAAGAGGTGATGATCTATGCCCACTCGCCCACTCTTTCTTTTTGTTTTTTACAAAACATTATATAATTTTGATGCATGTATCATGCCCAAGTTTGGATTTAGTTGCTGATTCTTGTTGATCTGGAGGAGCTAGGGGCTAATAATTCTGATTCTATCACATTTTAATTTTTTCCCTCAACATATATGTACGTATAGTCGATATTATAATCTTGCACTAGGGACTACACATGGATTAGGTTTAGTCGTTTTAATCATCCGATCAATATGTTTCGGTTTTGAAGAGGGGCTAATTACTAATGTTTATGAGATCGTCTCGACGGTCTCACCGGAACAATAATTTAGCGATTTTAAATTGGTAGGAAATTTTTAATGATATAAAGCGATTAAAACACGATTAAACCATAATTTTAACACAAAATACCCTGCAATCGACCTTTTCGATACAACCCTTTGATACGATTTACGATCCTTACTAATTACTAACCGTAACACTATCACTTTCCAAACTACACTTGGATTATAGCCAATGAAAAAAAAAAACAGAATTAGAGCGAGTTGGCTAGCTCCCAAGATGTTCACAGAAAATGAACAGGTGGCGATGTAGTGGTTGATAAAAGGGAACTTCACTCCATGCACGCAAAGGTTGGGGGAGCATTCGTCTTTCCCTCATTGGTGTGCATGGCTTGCAAAAAATCATTAACTTACGTCTTATTAGTTATTATTTATATGTTCGAGTAGCTAGATTTTGAGATTTTGATCTATCAACCTTTTTTGGAATCTAGCATATTTCATACCCAATACAAATGGAGATGTCCCTGATTTATTCTCATGTTTCATGTACTATTTTTAGCTTGTAAAGCGTGTTTGTAAGTTTCTAAAAGTGTCATAATTAATTAATTATCATCTTGCAAGAGAGCTTATAAGGTTGGAAATTCGGTTTAGGTTTTGCAGTTAGAGCCAATGTTTTCAGAACCGGACCGGAAGCTGAACCGGAAAAACTAGTGGTTCATGGTTCAATGGTTAACCGTTATAAAACCGTTGCTGAATCGTTTATAGAACCGCTCACACATAAAATAGAATAATATATATAATAGAATTATTCAAAATGAAATTTTCCACCAAACATAAACGATCGAAATTCATATTATCCATCACCAAAAATAAAAAGATATATGCATATAGTTTTTAACCAAAATAGAAGATTATCTGTAGTGGAGCAGTCTGATGGAAGCAAGAGGATTATGGTTGACTGGTTGTAGGCTGTACAGTACAGAGCAATTAAGAGAAAGTAGAAAATACAATTAAGGTTACTTGTTTTGATCGTCGTTGGCTTAAATGCATATACGATTAACTATTCTTTTTTTCCCTTCAACTTTTAAGGCTCAAAGTTAAAATAGCAGGCCGTTGGACCAATAAGACCGCTCCGGGTTTGCGGCTTTCTTGTAAAATTGGCAAAAAGCGCTCGGCCCAACATTGGCCGCTTGAATGCAGGAGCCGGACCGCTAGTGGTAGCGGTTGACGGTTTTCCTGGTTCGGTTCACCGGTCCGATCCGGTTCTTACAACAGAGGTTAGAGCGAAAAAAACACTGGACCGTCTAAACCTGTCTTGATTAACCGGAAACGGGATCTCAAACAATCTGGTTCAGTTGTCGGTTAATCTATGACAGGGAAAAATCGGCACCATCCAGACTTGTTAAAAACCGGAATATTTGGTCCAGCTGATAACCCAATCCACCATGGTGCAAACCGGTTAACCGGTTCTTTTCAAGTGACATGTTTAGGCCTGGTTCGGATTTGGTCGAATTGGGTTAGGTAGTAGTAACCTTTTCATCATTTTGCGAATTTGGTTTAATTTTGCATGCAATTTCGTGGTATATCTTACTTGAGCTTAGCTCAATCACGAGGACAGATATGTAAATGCAAATTCTCACAAACCAGTTGATTCCAATGACTCGAGTTGTTGTGAGAGGTTCAATAGAGAATCTTACAACAATTTACACGCGCCCCCTCAAACAAAGGTCACTCATATAGGCTTCAAATTTTGTACAGGCATCAGACGCCATGCCCTTACTAATAGGGGTTGTGGAGATTGGAATAAAAGACCTCCCGGGTAAGGCTCTGATACCATACCATGTTAACAAACAAACTACTTAGTCCCAATAACTCGAGTTATTGAGATTAATTGATTTTTGACAAGATATCAGAGCCTTCTATGATCATGAAATCTTATACTCGAGTTATTACGCCCAGTTCATTTATGACACAAATGAGGGAAATGAGGGAGGGCAAAATGGCACTACCTGCTCATCAGCTTAACCATTACACTTGTTTTCGCAGTGACATTTTGTAGATGAAAACAGGTAAGACCATCACAAACTTGTTATAGCTTAAGCAGTACACTTGTTGTTGTCTCAATGAGCTTTGTAGATGAGAAACAGGTAAACGTCCAAACCTTCTCCAAGACGTCGTCGTTGGTCGAATCAATCAAATGTATGCCAACATATATATATAATATATAATACACCATAATTAATTAATAATAACCTGAGCTCCAAAGCAACCATATAATTTGTTAGAAAACGATAGTGGAAAATGAAGATGGGTGACAACATAATTTTGACAAAACACAAGAACAGATTGAAGATTTGAGGGCAGCTAGAGGCTGAAGTGGCAGGTCTCTTACGTTTTCGCCATTAGAAAAATAATAATTAATTAGGTCGATCTCTTACGTTTTCTTCAATTGGTTAGCACTTAATTACATAATAATTCAGCATATATAATATGCTGGGAGCCAAAAGCAGGAGAAAGAGACAGTCTAAGTATTGAATTGCCTGAAACCCAGCAAAATGTTACAATAGTATATTCAACTCGGACCAATTCATCTAGCTAGGGCATATACACTGGGTATTCTTTGGATAATTTGACCTAGTTGTCTTGATACACGGATTGAATTCAAATGAGTTTATATGTACTTTTAATATTTTTGAGTTTGGATTGAGTCATATTCAAATGGGTCTATTTGAATCCAGATGTTTGTAATTTATAGCACAAAATTATATTATCAATCATCTCATTAATTTCCTTCAACCCTCTACCAATATTTTTTTTCCTTCAACCCAATTACACATTTAACGTTGGTGTTTCCACCTTTTTATTTGTTTAAAAAATCAGACATATATTGCATTAGAGCCATGGCTTCATTTTTTTTTTTGGTACCCGATACTATGAGTTCAATTTAGACTTTGATAAAGTTTATAAAATATACCCATCATAAAAATTATGAGGGATGCCAAGATATTCCACCGAAAAATCATTCATGACTTATCACTTCTCTGATTCTAGAATGTGTCTTCATGTTGTTCATTACAATAAGTACTCTTTCAACACTTGCAATCTCAACGGGTACGTAGCAACAAACACCACTGAGTTTTTAGTTGTTATTTATATTAAACTCAGTTACATAACATATGAGTTAAAAATTAAATAGAGATCACAACATTACTTTTTCGTAAAGTTGTTTACAATATTAAAGAGATATTGTATTCAATTTACCGTCACAAAAAAATTACTATTACACTTTTGGAGCTAAGGTGGTGCAAATGACCATCTTTGGCCTCAACTCTCAAGTGGCTCCGTCGTTGCCACGTGTGCATAAATCTTCTTATCTCTTTTATAATTTGCGTTCTACTCAAAATAGTGAAATATATCGATCTTCTATTAGTGGATTGACTAACTAATAACACTCATTAGGTTAATAAATCACGTAAGGGCTCGTTTGGAGAAAAGAATTTATACAATAGATTCATTGAATCCATAGATTTAGTAGTATGTTATACTTTTTTTGTTTTTATATCGTTGATTTTTGCTTCAGAGATTTAAAATCTATAAAATCTAGTGATATCAAATCTCTCATAATCAAAAAAAATTATATATCTTGATTTGCAATAGTTTTGTTTCTCCTACTTTGTCTCTTATGTTTTTATCCCGCTTCATACCTTACCAATAAATTCTCAAGATTTTTTAAGTCACTTGGTTGATGCTAAATATGTCATTTGCTAAAAAAAAAAGTAGAACTTCTATTTTTATTGAATGTTAACAATTGTATTTATTAAATACTGAAAAAATTTAAAATTGTTTTCAACCATTTGAAAAATTAGAACCTAGAGATTTAGAATCCAATTCTCCAATTAATCCCTAAATATATATGCGTTTACTCTTTTCTTTCGTAGAATTGCTCAATCATCAAGTATATAATCAAAGACCCACTACGATGAAGTCGATGATAGCATCGGCTGTGACTTCGCGTTCAAGAATAGGAACACCAAAGTCAACCAACCACTCAGGGTCAGGGGCGAAAAAAGTCAAGATCTGGTTAAGTAAGAAATCAAGAAAGAAAGAGAGAGTTACCGTACGAGATCAGCCATAGAGTAATATATCTGGGAAGAGCAAGTTAATTAAGAATCAAGCTTTTGGGTAAGAAAATAATTAAATAACAATAACGAATAAGAATAAAACTCAGAGGATGATGAGCCCTAGATGGGCCTTTGATCAGAATAAGGCAGCCAAGGATTAATCAAGAGATTGATTCCTTCTCGAATTGAAGAACACAAAAACAGGATCGGTTTTTGGGAGGTTGGGATATTCAATTTCATGCAATCTCGCACAAATGAGAAGTCTCGAAATAGATAGGTAGAAGTCAGCCACAAACAAGGTGTTTACTTGTTCGATACAAGCACACGAATCATTTGAAATTCACCAAGCAATTCAATCAACTCACGAAGCAAACTTGTGGTTCAATTATCATAATCTACCTTACAATGTAATGGACATGAGTTTAAATAGAACTAGCTAAGTTTTACAATCAAAAAGGAAAACCTAATTACAATAGAACACGAAAACTGAACATATAAATCCAAAGAGAAGAAGTAATCCTAATCCGAGAAAGATTCGGGTGCAGACTCCCAAACGTGGCTCCAGACGATCTTGCACCAATTCGTTTGAAGCCTTCCAGGTATGTGTTCACTCATCCAAATGTAGCTCCAGCCTCCCGGCGATCTTTCAACATAAAATGATATTTTCCCCCTATTTTTATATTGTGGAATTTAGTTTTAGAAATTTTAAATTTCTAAAATCTAGAAATATCAAATCTATCATAATCAAAGAAATATCATTATCAATAAATTTTACATTTTTCCACTAGATATCAATACCAATAAATGCTCATACTTTCGTCGATGTTTGTTGTATTTAAGGACCCCCAATCAACTCAAAATTCATGAGATACATAGACATTAGTATTATTACCTTTTAAAGGACCCCAACAGTTTAAAAATCTGGCTACACCACTGTTGATAAGCACATGGTGTTTGATGGTTATGCAAACTTCAAGTCTATATATATGATTGGTTTTCGTTTGAGAAATCGTATTAGTATAGATATATAGTATATAAAATCTATTATTCAATTATCTCATTTTCAATCTGGATCCATTGATCATATTATAACCAGGAACCAAAGATGAAGAATGAGCATGTATTCTATGGTCTGTATTATACCTACGTAGTTACCTACTTTGACAAGCTCTTGCAATAAACAAGACATGCAATTTGTCTAACGTGACTCAATTTGAAACGGCTAGGGCTAGGATGGTTCCTCCTACGTACAAGCTAGCAAAATAGACTAAACTGCTAGCTTGATAACATCATAACGTGCATTTTGATATAATCATTTGAGGGAAATGCGAGTAATTAATTATCAGCGTCGTCAATGTCAACTGAGAAAAGCCAAAGGAGTGAAAGAGTGAAGAAGAAGAAGAAGAAGACCGCAACCAAACAAAACAGTTTTTTTGTCTTCATTAGTCTATCTAGTCCCCTCGTTCATGAAATAAACTAGAAAACTCCCGCAATATTTTCCCACCCGCGCGCGCGTTAGTTAATCAACCACCCGCACACGCATTATTACATTATTATTATATTTTGACCGCTGGGCTGGGTTTTCTGCAAGTAATTACTTTGTTACACTAAAAAAAACAATTAACTTTGCTTCTTTTGCATACAATCCCACAAATTTAGCGGATCCGAGGAAGAGAGCCACGGCGGGTCGATCGGCCGCCGTCGGAGACAAAACAGAGAGATAGGGATGACAACAACAACAAAAAAAAGCTTATATTAATATTTTACAATTATCTCTAGATCTGTTTCATAATATGAAAAGTCTCTAAAATATATCAATCATTTAAATTATTAGGGATGTCAATCTCATTATAACCAACCAAAAGATTGTGCAGAATCTCATCATAGATCTTTATTTGAGGTGTGTTCTTTACGTAGTTCATAGCAGAAAATGTTCTTTCAACAGTTGTTGTGGTAACCTGAAGCAACAATTAATGCCAATTTTAGCAGTTGATAGACAAATGGAAACACTCGACGTTTTCTTGATGCACTCTTTTCTGTAGAAAACTCTGCGATTCTCTTTAATTAATCCTGCAAAACTCTCAATTGTGTCTTCATATAAAATGTATGAGCATCTAGTTGATGGAAGTCAAGATGTCAAATGAGCATTTAGAGAGAATGAATAAAAGGTAGCAAGCTTCACTAACTTCTCATTGTCAAAGTCAACACATAAATCATCGTATATACACAAAATTTAATAATTCGATCTATGACACTAATTTTTTTTGTGCGATCTTTGACACTATTTAGTCGTATACACACAAAAATAAACACAGTACCAAAGTCCATATTTGTAATAGACAGAGCCCAGCCCATTTTATTTGTGTAACGTGATGTACCTAATTTTGGGTGAAAATATAATTAATTCACATTTACGCATATATAGGAGAATGAACTCTACATATATAAACAGTAATCATTGATATCTATTTCCTCTTACAACCCTCCTTAACACTTTTCGACCGCAAGTTGCTAATGATTGTTTAATGGATATATAATATATTAAAAGAGACTAACGGAAGAAACTAAACAAAATGTATTTTATAATTTTTTTAAGAATAAAATACATCGTGGTTATTTATAAAAACCGTAATAGTATTAGTCAATTATTTATTTTGCTATGGTTTTTGCACATTATTTTTTTAGTTATATGTATTAAATATTTATATTCTGAAAAATTATACACATGGTTCCAGCCACTCATAATCTTGTCTTGTGCTTAGTTTATTTGAATTAGAAGACAAGACCGGTTTTTGTTTAAATAGATATGCAATTATTCTTTGTCACCGCCCGGATCCGTGGCGCAATGGTAGCGCGTCTGACTCCAGATCAGAAGGTTGCGTGTTCGATTCACGTCGGGTTCAATTACCCTGATCCAAAGGGTCCGTTTTTTCCCCATTTTTGCCGGCTCCACCCATTTTCCATGTTCACCACCACACCGTATCATTTCCCTAAAACCCCTCACAAACCTGAGAATGATTCTCGAAGAAACCCTAACCACTTCCAGTTCCTTCACAGAGCTCTCTTCCTTCCCTCTCTACCGATCTCAATCCAGCAACAACAATGGCGTTCTTCTCCCGCCTCCGTCTCCAATCCCTCACCGCCGCCCACCGCGGGCGCTGCAACTTCTCCACGATCCTATCGCCGGACTCCAAGACTCCCCTCTCCGCCAAGGACAAAACCCGCGCCGCGCTCTCCCTCCTCAAATCCGAGCAGAACCCGGAGAAGATCCTCGAGATCTGCCGCGCGGCGTCTCTGACTCCCGACCTCCACCTCGACCGCATCGCCTTCTCCGTCGCCGTCACCAAGCTCTCCGAATCCAATCAGTTCTCCTACGTCAAGCAGCTCCTCGACGAGCACCGCCGCGACCGCCCCGACCTCCGCACCGAGAAATTCGCCGCTCAGGCCATCGTCCTCTTCGGCCAGGCCAACATGGTCGACGACGCGATCGCCACCTTCAAGAAGCACCACGAAGACGCCGGCTCCGAATCCGGTTCGGTGAAGACGCTGAACGCGTTGCTCTTCGCCTGCGCCATCGTGAAGAACTACGCCGAGGTAAAGCGGATCTTCGTCGATTTCCCTGCGATATACTCAATCAGTCCGAATCTAGACACTTATAACACCGTGATCAAGTCCTTTACGGAGTCCGGTAGTTCGAGCTCGGTTTACTCGCTCCTGGGAGAGATGAAGAAGAACAGAATCAAGCCTAACGCTACTACTTTCTCCCACCTGCTGGCAGGGTTCTACAAGGAAGAGAAGTTTGAAGAAGTAGGGAAAGTTTTGGACATGATGAAGACAGAGTACTCGATCTCCCCTGGAACTGCTACCTACAATGTCAGGATTCAGAGCTTGTGCAAGCTGAAGCGAGCTCGGGAAGCTATGGCTTTGCTCGATAAGATGTTGAAAGAAGGCCCCAAGCCGAATGCCACTACTTTCGCCGAGTTGATTCATGGGTTCTGTATAGCAGGGGATTTGGAGGAAGCCAAGAAGCTCTTTAAGAGCATGGTGGGCAGGGGACATCAGCCTACCATCGAGTGCTACTTCACTTTGATCTACTACTTGTGCGTGGGGAAGGATTTCGATGCTGCTTTCGCAATTTGTAAGGAGAGTATGGAGAAGAAATGGGTGCCGAATTTCTCGACGATGAAGCTGTTGGTGAATGGGCTTGCGGGTGAAGGGAGAGTTGAGGAGGCGAAGGAGCTTGTAGGGCAAGTGAAGGAGAAGTTCTCCAAGAATGCTCATATCTGGGATGAGGTTTTGGCTGGCTTGCCGCAGTAAGGTAAAAACATTTCTTTGGGGGGTTTGTTTCCATTGACATTGAACATCACAGGTTAGAAATGGCAGATGATTTTTATACGACAATGGTAGTTCATGACGGTTTCTGCGAAAAGATAATAATGCGACCAGTTCGCTGCTCATTGAGATCGAGTGCCTTCATGGGTTTTGGTTCTCCATGTAAATGTGGATTAGTCACATGAATGATTAAACTTTGATGTCACCTCTGTCGATTAATCGCGGTCACATGTTTGTGCTTGTTTTCTGTAACTTGATGGCCAGATGGTTAAAGCTGCCTGAGAAGCTCCTTTGTGATCTGTATCTGCACTTGGTTCCCATTTCTCAGCAGTAAATGAAACTGCAGACTGATATTGCGTTCGTAGGATGCATATAACTTGGTCACTCGCCGATTTAACGAGAATCATAATATATACATTTGCCATGAACCTCAATATCGCCTTCAATTCTACTACACTAGACTGACAACAAACTGAATCAGTAGTCCAACTTCGTAACACTCTGCTGTACATTCTGACAACAAAATTCATCAGTTCTTCATGTCTCAGTATCGCTTCTGATGCTGCAATTACACCATTCTTACGACTTCAAAGAAGACGGTGCTGATTTGCTTGGTTGCTCAGACCCTTTTTTACGCCGTTCAGGTATTCAACTATGAAAGCTATGATTTCCTGGCGAGTAGTGCAGATCTGTTGTTCAGGTATTTAGCCCCGTATGCTACGCTAGAACCGACTGTCGTCGAGGCCACCAGCCAGCTGCAATAATCAGTCGAGAATGGTCAATGCCAATAGCAAATAATGATTTAAACAAGTTAAAGTCAGAATTACCTCAAGTAGGTTACATATACTTGGGTCTCCACCGTGCCAAAATCCGGCTGAAGAAGAGCTGCAGCGACTAATAGCAGCTGGAAAACTGTATTTACCTGCCAGATGTCCTATAACTGTCAGAATATCTCAAAATTGTCGCACTCCCATGTCCGATTAGCATTAGTCAAGCTTTCCCAAGTTCTTGCAACAGCAAATTATCAGTGATGACAACATGCCTGCCTTCGTGCATTTCAACAGCTAGCGTTCCAAATAGTTCAAACTGCACGTTTCACTTGTGTCTACTTCAACGCAGTACCAATTAAAAAGATGAAACAGTAGGACAAGCAAGTACCTTGCTTATATATAGAGGCTCAACCTTCTCGGCACCAGATCCGTTGAGGTTGACGAAATCATACCAACTATCCCGCTGGAAGAAGAAAATTGATGAGACATACGAGAAGTGACAATTCAACAGACACTACGGGTAACTGTGAGACAATCAAAATGAATACCTTCCAACCCAAGCTCCTAGCTCTATGATATAGAGTTGCAGCAACCAGTCCGCCATCTCGAAACAAAACCAATCCAACAAGTCCAGCTGCACAAAACAACCACCACGGTTCATTCACCACAACAACATTGAAACAAGGGCACAATCCTGTGAAGTCCAAAGGAAGGGAACGGTGTCATTACGGTGTAAGAGATCCATATGTACCATTGCTACAGCAACTGAAGCAATGAGAACCTGTGTAGACGGACAGCCATTGACACTCGTAAGAGAGAAAATCAGAGAACAGACAACAGATAAAAACTGCAGAGTTCTGGCTCAAAACCCTACCTTGTCAGCAAGAGGATCGAGATACGAACCCACTACCGAATCGATTTTCATCTTCCTCGCAACGTAACCATCGAGCTAGCGAGATGGCAAAGCAAACAGGAATCACCAATTGGGAACACTGTCAAACGAAGTTCTAAGAATCAGAGCAAAAGTACAAGCTTACCCAGTCACTAGCTCCAGAGATTGCTAAACCCACAAAGGCAGCAGAATACATCTCGTTAACAATCATCCTGCGTATGAATTTCAAACACATAGCAATAAGGAATTCGAAAATCAACGGGAAGGCATCGAGATTTCCATTTTCCATACCATCCAAGAAAAGGCCCGGAGACCAAACGACTGATCGAGATAAAATTAGGCCAATTCGCAAAACTATCCCAAAACCACTCTTCCGCCGCGGAGCGATTTCTTCTCGATTGCTCCTCCACGACGAAGCCGTACGGCGCTGCAGTCGTCGCGGCGACCGCGGAGGAGGACCTGATCCTGCTTTTAAACGAATCGAGCCGCGAATTCAACCGATTCAGAGCCTCCGCCCTCCTTTTCCTCAGCAGCGCCAAGGCGGCACCGTTCCCGCGCAGGTGGAGTGGGGTCGAGGACTGCAGCAGCTTCCACGGCGGCGAAGCGAGGAAGAGATGGCCTCGAAGAAGAAGCGGAGCAGCGATCCATTTCGAGAGCGGAGAGAGGAAGCAGTGAGGCGGTGAAGACGGAGAGCGAGGGAGGGATGGAAGGAGGGCATAAGAGGAAGGGAAAGTGGAGGTGGATGCGGTGAGGAAGCTTCGGTGATACGTTAGGGTTCCGGCGACGGCATTTATGTTCTGTTGTTTCGACGTCAGAGCTCGTAAGGATCTGAAGATCACCATTGACGACGATGGCGCATTCTTGGGGATCGCTGCGACTGAGAACGGACGCGAGTGGTCAGAACGGTGGATTTTGCAGGGGTTTTAGCCCGGGACACGTGTAGGCTCGAATGACGAGTCGCGTGGATTAGATCACTAGGCGCGTACTGGCCTACTGGGTTTTATCGTGCTGATTGGGCCTTAGGATCCAACATTGAAGGGCTTAATTTGGGCTTTTTCTGGGCCAAGGGATCCCAATATGGGGCTAAAAATTTGCTTGTAGGTAGGGTGGGTATAGATCACGTTGAAATGAGAACAAACCAAGAGGAAAAGTGGAACAAGATCGGATTAGAATTTAGAAGTGCATTTTGAACCACTTGATAATCGGTTCAGTTATAATTTGAACCTTTCTATATTTGAAATAATTTATGGAATCATAACTGAAGCAAATTATATTTGACTAGATTTGCTTCGATTCAGATATCGATTCGGTATAATTAAATTTATTGTTTACCGAATTGTTGCCCATCGCAATTTATAGATTTAGGTGGAGTCGGAGTAACGCATTTTTTGGGGAAATTTTACTATCCAAGCATATAAAATTGATACTATAAATATGTTATAGTGTTCACTTGTTTTTATTGTAAATCAGTATTTATCCAATTTCGAACAAGTATAGATTAAGGAATGAAAAAGAATGTGTAACATCCGTGGTTTAATAATGAATGAAAAAGGACATGACATACGAATGAAGTCCAAAATGTAGCATGTTTGACAAATGTCCGAATGTTACGATCCATTTCAAAGAAGGTACAAATTCTTATATAAAACCAATGAAAGAAAGTACATCGTTGTCGTATTACTACGCTCGGTCGATGACCAATATTACCGTAGTTTGTATAGAATCATGCGAAATAATAAGAGTTCAGAAGAACGTTTCTCATAGATTTATAGAAATACCATCCACCCAAAAAACTTGAACAAAATATGTGCATGCTACACTCCCATACAACAATCAACAAATCGAACACAAAGTATATGTCATACACATTCTAGCGATAAGTCATCTTGCTTAAGTACTCGATAACCAAACCTCCCGGAGATCATCCCAACGCCATCCCGACCAACATCCACGGCGGAGCACATCCCCGGACGAAGCATTCCTCCGCCGCTGCCGCCGCCGCCGGCCCCGGCGGATTTCTTCCTTCCCCACCGAATTCTCAACGGCCAAAACGATCTTCCACTACTACTTCGTGAAGCAGCAGTATTACCTATACCTTTACCACTCCCTGAAGCCAATTTCCTTGAATTCCCTTGAGCTTGGAGGCTTCCACGAGGATACTCAAAGTGCTCCAAATTGGTAAAATACTCGATCTCTTTCCTCAACAGGGCACCCACTGTGCCACCGGAGCCGCCGCCGCAGCCGCCATTTTGTCCGCAGGGAGAGATGGGTTGGTGGAGCAGCTAGCTCCTGCCGGTTTGAATTGCATAAGGGGGAAAGTAAATGGGAGAGGAGCGAGGGGGAGAACTATAGCTTTGAAACTGTGTTCATCAGTTTACTAAAAAGTAGGGGACTGAATGAATGGGTTGTTGCGTGATTGAAGGACCATGGAGATGGGATGATATAAAGCTTTAGAATAATGGAAATGAGAAAGGTTTCATCTTTATTCTTCATGTGTGACCAAATCATGATTTTTTTTAGTTGGGATGCTTAGAATAATGGAAAATCATAGAGTGAAAGGGACTACAACTAGTAAAATAACTCTTTGACCGGGACATGGTCGTGTCGGATAAGTTAAGGTGTGACAATCTCGAAACAATTACGAGTTTTATCATTTTTTTGTTGTGTATTATTACAGAGATATAGAAAATATAGTGATTTAGAGCGTTCGGTCTCGAATCATGCTACGAAATTGGGGAATTAGATCGGAATATAGATATAGAACCGAATGAGGAATTTGATAAGAATTTAGCGATCAGAGTTTAAAGAATAGAATTGGAGAAGAATCGAAAGAACTGGTCAGAGGCCTTAATAGGAAAATAAGAGAGACAAAATTTTAGAGGATTGGAGTTGAGATACTTTTCGTATTAACTTTCTTTAACTGATTCTGAAATTAATATACTCGACTAATACAACGGTGAGCTAGAATCTATCTGGTTAGTGGGTCCTAAGCCTCCACAAAGAAAAGAGATTGAGCTCATAATAATCATTTTCCTCCTTTGCTTTGTGTGTGTGCTTATGCTCATTATGCTGAAGCATTGAGAGCCCGTTGTCGCTCTCATCATTTGTCGTCGGCGTGAATCAGAAACATGCACGGCAATTATAAGCCGTGATTGTGGCGGCAGGCAGTTCCACTTGTGGCCTTAATCACCATTATCTTAACTAGGTAGATATACACACTTGCTGCTGCAAAATCTCGACGTATTCAGAGCGTGATTGCGATCCCTATTCATATATAGATCAGGGTTTGACACAAAGCAATGAGATAATGATACTCAGCAACTGAGCTTATGTGATGTAGGAATGGGTGACAGATCTTTATTTTAGTTATCAATTATCATCGTGACAACTGGAAGCAATTTCTGGACGTTTCAATGTCCGGAAAAAGAATGGTTGGTATATTTTCTATTTACTCATTTTTATCTAAATGTATATCAGTAAATACTCTAAATTACAGAATGCTGAAATTTCCCTCTTGATAGCCTCAGAAAATTGGGTGTTCTTTCTTACTCTTCCTCATTATTCCATACAACACTATGAGCTAACAACCTAAACATGTTCTTATTCCCTGCCCCTTTACTCATTAAATCTGTATAACCTAACCACACTTCTCTTTCTGTGTCTTTTGCTCGTCACCCTCCTAGTACTAACGAGTCGATCAGAGTCGATGCATGCCGGGGAGATGGCAAGAATACCTGAGCCGACGATGGCTGGCCAGAGCAGTCCGCAGTGCCACATCGACGCTCGCCCCTTCCCGGAACAGCAAATCGTACAGCATGCTGAGGAACTGAGATAGCCTGTCCTCGTCATCGTCCCAGAAACCCATCGAATTGGCGCTGCACCCTCTCTCGGGTTCGCTGTCCTCCCAGTCGCTGGCGGCAGGGCTGGGAGGCTCAATGTCCTCGCTCTCGGCTTCGTCCTCCTCCCCGATCTCGAACTTCCCGTTCTCCATCGAGTTGAGGTCGCATCCCGATCCACTGGCAGTGGTCACCGGGATGTCTATGGGGTCTGCGGATGGACACACTACCGCTTTGGCCCCGGAGTCCAAGAAGGCTTTGATTAGTGTCTGGGATGGGCCGTATGTCCCCGTGCAAACGATGATCCTGTCTCTCCATGCTCCAACCTACGGGGAAAAGGGTTAACCAGATAAGAACTTTCAAAAGACTTGAATGACGTTGCCAAATGAAGCAGCAAACTGAATATACCATCCATCGAACATCTTCAGGGGTTAAATGCATGGAAGGAACTGTTCTTCTGAACATATATGCCGCGATTTCTTGGTCGTCTTCCATTACCTTCATAACAGGAAAACCAAAGGATTTAGAGTGTCAGTTAACCTACTAAGGTTTGGAACCCAGAGTATTCTTTGATCAATTCACGTATTCAAAACCATACTTCGTTTTGCGATCATGTATTCTTCCGTTCCCTAGTTTTCATAATACATGGTTTTCGAGAATTGTTTTCCTCGTTTAAATTACAGAGACCATGAACTTCAGACCAGAACCCATGTATTTTAAGAATACACGACTCCAAGAATTGTGGAAATCTTTGATAGTTTCAAAGCTTCAAGAAACACATTTTTTCTTATGCCTGACGACAAATGTTTATCATCCTTTCAAGCCAAGCACTATAGTCTGACAATACAAGTATTTTAGAATTAGAAACCCTAAGTCTAAGGTCACATGCATATATGGTAATCCAAGAACCCCTAATTTATAGAATTCCTTCATTGTAAGTACAAATTCTCGAAAGAAACACTTAATTAGAATCATGGTTCCAAAGCGACAAGTCAAACTGACATTAACCATGCAAATAAGTCAGGATAAAGCAATCGACACATACCTGTGTCTGCCGTCCTATATAACGGTGGACAACGTTCCCGACTTGGAAATAAGGTCTGCAACGAACAAGATCGGCAACTGTCGAAATCTTGGAAAGAAATGATGTGACCTGCTGTCGGTGACACTTCATCATTGACAATAAACTAAGCTTCACACTCTGTAGAAACTTCTCAGCGAGCTCTCCAGGTTCAGCAACAACAAACACGTCATTCTGCCAACTAGGAGGAACAAAAGAAAAACTCCAGCAGTTGAGCACACAATTGTTTCCAAGAAACAATGCTATTAAGACATCACGTTTCAACAAGAAGCAGAGAGGCATACCTTAGGATGGAGCCAGACAAATCATTCTGAAGGGCTAAATGCACGATCCCAACTTGCGGTGCATTCTGCAGCGTTTCGTGCAACGATCTCACAGGCAAAGAGAACTGTTTCCGTGCTGTAGGAGAAATTGGTGGTGATGCTCCTGCTCTGACTGTCGTATTCCCATCCAAGCTCAAAGGTGGGACCATGTCAATTCGGCCAACTCGGTGTGAACCGAAGTCAGGACTGTACAAAAGTGGGCTCGATGGGAAGCTTCCGGTGATCAGAGGTGAGGCGAACGGCGATGCCACAACTGGCGGTACACTCTTAGAAATTCCCGATGCACTGTGAACATGAGATACTCGTATGTTGTTACGAGCCCAGAATGTCTCAAGCGCCCGGGCATGGTGCATGACTCTTCCAGAATCGGGGCTATGGAGAGCTTCGACGAGTAGTACATTACGCCTCCAACCCAAAGTGGGGCCACTCCCACCTGAGATTAGCAGAAGGATATAGCAACATTTTAGGTTGAAGATTAGTGATGAACGGAAGAAGATGAGGTTAATGATTTGCACCAGTACCAGTAATGAACGTCTTTGCTCTTGGAAGTTGCTGCTGATTTTTAAAATCGGAGAACTTATCGTCGTTTTGCAATGGCAACACGAGTCTCTCACAGATGTTCTTTAAAGCTTCGGAGCTCTCTAGGATGTATTGTTCAACTGAAGCTTCCAACTTTAGCCACACAGCTGGGTCAGTTTCGTCCAGCTCCATATCACATCGTTCATCAACTTCGAATGGTCAAAACAATATGGGATAGTAAGAGCTAGAAGAGCTTTCAATAAAGCTGGCCTGTAACTATAATTTCGTATATGAAATAGGCATATTCAACAAATCTCTGCTCACAGGCCAGATTTTTTTCACGATTGTATATACCGAGCCATAATGATAAATATTCTATCCTGAACAAACACAGTCAGATTTTACCTTGATTGAAACGAAAATATTGGATCTCAGGAAGCATTGGAAGTAACGTGCTTAAGGCTTCCTCCACTCGGTCAACAGAGCACGCACTTTCAATGAGCACCTGACCAGTGTCGAGATAGCGCCAACCACCTTTCCGAGACTACAGAAAAGGAGATTTTCTCACAATCAAGAGTCAAGAGACCAAACAAGGTCCCCGTTAGAGGGCACATAAACTTAACATTCTTGATATGTTACTAGGAAGACAACTGATAAAACTCTAAAGGAACTAACAATTTGTAGTAACGAAGCCAAATTCGATGAGAGGCTCACCTTTGTGGGAACAGAACCACACCCAACTGAAACCAGGCAGTCAATTCTAGTGTCGGGCCAAAGAAGCTGTGCTTCTCTTATAGCAAAGATGGTAGGATTATTGGCCACAATAGCACCATCTTGCCAACGATTTATGTCTGTGGAAGTAATTAAGTTAGAACTTTTATAACTTAAGGTAATAACAAATAATATTACTGACTAGATGCATCGAGCGGATTACCATCAGAATAGTCATCGAGATAATATGGAGCAGCAGATGATGCTCTTATTGCTTGCCAAACGTGGTGTTTACAACTTCCAATAGAAGCACTGCGTTTGTATCCAATTTGGCTACCAGCAAACGGAGATCCTAATACAGTGACCCCTGATCCCTCAGTAGGAGTGGATGGCACTTCTGGTGTTCCAACAGGGTACTAAATGGTGACACAAAAATGTCAGATGACAGGAGGAAAAAAGAAAATTTAGGGGTGTGTTTATTTCCTCGAATATTAAGTTCCTAACGTTTAAGTTGCAAAAAAAAGCTACAACACAAATACTCTTTCATTATAAAAAAAACTATCTAATATCCCTCTAACTTCTCTGAAACCTTACCAAGGAAACTTTTTCTAAAATTAAAAAATTTAAGTTGCCAAATATAGGAGAAGATAAAACAAACACACTCTAATAAGTATCAACTAGGCATTTTATACATCAGACAATAAGCAAATTGCCAGGTTTTAGCAGATACCACTAGCAAGAAACCCAACCTGATAGTTGCGGAATATAAATGGTTGAGCTGGCATCATGCTAACCAAAGTTGAAACTACAAA